GTACCTGCACACAGAGCTCCTCCCGTGCAACATTTTATAATCCTTTCCCATTCTGAGATATTCTCCCTTCTGCCCAACAACATAGCAAACCACCCATGACAAGTGTGTGGGCATTATTAGGAGTGATCACAGGAGGAACCTCTGCTCTTGTTGAAGCCATGGAGTCTCCTCCTTGCTTCTGTGGACTCTCAACATCTGACGACTTACACTATTGGCCTATGAGCATTGAAATGTTTCCCAATAGATCTAGGGTTTAGTCCACATCTTGACAGCACGAATATTGCATGAATACCTCATATGTAGGATGAGTACTAAACTGACAGTCATCTTTTAGTAATAAGGGGGTTAGGAAAAGAAAAAGCAAAATACTCTCATAGACTACAAGTTCACATTGGTCAGGAATTCCCTGGCGGTCCAGTGGTTAGGACTTGGTGCTTTCACTGCTGAGGGCACGGGTTCAATCCCTGGTGGAGGAACTAAGATCCCGCAATCTGCATGCGCGGCCAAAAATAAAAGTTCACCAGACCTCTTTCCTTGGTTACCCTTTTGTTTGAGAGTAAGTGGCAGAGACAGTGCTCCCTAAATAGTCCATATGTTTCCCTACATTGCAGCTGGGTTGGTCTCTTGTGACTAATTCTGCTCAATGGTCTGTAAGCAGAAGTGACGTGTGTCACTTCTGGGCCAGAACAGTTAAAAGCAGTACGCCTTTTCTGTCTCCTTCTCTCTCATTCCAGAAGCTATAGCTACGGGATGGAAGCAGCCTAGATTCCTGAGTCACCAGGCAAGCTGCTCTGGGATCAGTACAACTCAAAGTACAGTTCATGGGCCAGCGGCAGCAGCATCACCTGAAAGCCCAGTAGAAAAGCAGAGCTGAGCCATACCCCAGACATATAGAATTAGAGCCTCTTGGGCTTAGACAGGCCCTCCAGGTGATTCTGGAGCACACTAAATTTTGAGAACCAATGATCCAGCCTACATCAGATCTTGCGCAAGTGAGAAACTTTTATGTTGTTAATGTACCGGGGGGTTGTTCATTACAGAACTATAGCCTGTCCTATCCTGACTCTTACAGAAAACAAACCTAAAATGCTGAACTTTTCTCCCACTGCTGGTTCCACCTTAACAACATTTTGGGGCAGATCCCATAACTTTCTGGCCACATTCAGTAATTAAAATTCTTTCAGTTTAAAACTTCAATCTCAAATTTGATCTCATCTCCACTTCTCCCCACCTCCACACCTCCCATTGGTGCAACTTGGGCTCAGAGGAGTTGGAGTGAGATGAGGCTTTAGTTTGGTCCTGGATCCCTTCCCCTCCTCTCTTTTAAAGGCCTAATTCTTCTGGTATGGTGGCGAGGTGGGTGGTCTATGTGGGGTGATACTGGAGTAAAGAGAAAACTTAACAGATGTAGTCCCTTTTCCCTTCTGTCTGTTATCTCTGCTTCTCTTTTTAATACCAATAAGCCACTGATGCTCTTTTGGGCAGCACATGAATTTCTTTGCACAGAAGAGGTTTCTGTGGGTCCTCTCTTTGCATAGTTCCCTGACGTTGACATCCCACTCCTGCCCGCATCCTTCATCTCTCCCTCAGTCCACACCACTGGCAGCACACCTGGGCCTTCGCTAGCCTGAGCATGTTAAGAAAAGTCTCCCTCTTGGAGCACACCTGGCCCTGCGTTGGGTGTAAGAGTTTACAGGTGATGTGCCAACTGGACTTCAGCATCCTTTGCCCACACAGCCAGGGACCTTTGTGGACATCAACCCTGAGCTCCTGCCGTTAGAGACCTTTCAAGACTTAGACCTCCTATTGGTAGGATGACCGTTCTGAGAGTCAAAGAGGATACTATTAGTAATTATGCTGGCACAACCAGCATCAACGGGGTCTTCCCCAGAAAAGGTGGGATATATGATTCCCCAATCTGTGCTGTGTCATTGAGAAGAAGGCTCAAGCTCCAGAACCTTCCACAGGGTCGCTTGACCAAGAGGAAACTCACTCCTTTCTCTGCCCTGCCCCTTAGCTCATTTTCTTCTCTCCCACTCAGTCTGGCTCAGGAAGTCAACAAGCACATTCTATATCTATAGGAAGAAGAAAGAGAGCGGACCGCCTAGTGGGTTCCACCTGTGTGAAGAGAGGTCATTCTCCTCTTGAAACGCAGTGAAGGGATCTTGAGGGGTGGGGGGAACTCATAACATCTGGAAGTGCCTGCAAGCAAAACTCACTTTACAGTTGAGGTCCTAGGATGAAGCTCTCAAATGAAAGGGAGATCAGAAATTCAGAAAGAGGGCTTCCCTGGTGGCGCAGTGGTTAAGAATCCGCCTGCCGATGCAGGGGACATGGGTTCCAGCCCTGGTCCGGGAAGATCTCACGTGCCGCGGAGCAACTAAGCCCCTGTGCCATAACTACTGAGCCTGCGCTCTAGAGCCCGCGAGCCACAACTACTGAGCCCGTGTGCCACAACTACTGAAGCCTGCACACCTAGAGCCTGTGCTCTGCGACAAGAGAAGCCACCGCAATCAGAAGCCCACGCACCGCAAAGAAGAGTAGCCCCCGCTCACCGCAACTAGAGAAAGCCCGCGTGCAGCAATAAAGACCCAACACAGCCAGTAAATAAATAAATAAATAAATAAATAAATAAATAAATAAATAAATAAATAAAATCTATTTTAAAAAAAGAAATTCAGAAAGAAATATGGTTTATGGTGATACTTTAAGGACCACTGGATCAAGCTTTGCCTGAAGGTAGTCAATCAATACTTCCTGAAGCTTCAGTTAAGTGAACTAACAAGTTTCCTTTATCGGGTAAGTCAGATTGAGCCAGCTCTTCTGATACAGTAACTCAAAACATCCCTAAGTGACACAGACTGCAGTGTTGCAGGCAGCAGACCCCAAAAGTGGAATTGGCTGAGGGCAGGAGCTGAATGCAAAATCAGTAAGGATACCTCTAGTCAGCACAACAGCGGGTCACCCCCATGGCCTCATATATTCTCACCAAGCTCATCTGCCTACCAAGGTTGCATCCAAAAGCAAAATTCAGGATGTTGAAGACTGATTACTTTTTGCATACATGAGCAAAGCCCACTAAGAAAGAGATTAGCTCACTTTGAAACTGGCTTCTCCAATAGCAGAGAAGGAAAAAAGTATAGTTTGCTTAAGAGAAACCCTTTCTGCTGGCTGCCTGCAAACCAAGCCGACTGAGAATCAGTCATCTGGAAAAGCAGAATTCTCGCCTCCAAGCTAATGTCAGTATAAGAAGAAATGGGAAGATGAGAGAATAGAGAGGACAAAAAAGTGGGGTCCATATACAGCCTGAGTCATCCCGTTCTCAGACCCCTCCTTTAAATATTTATCTTGTGGACAAAATGAACCATCATGTTCTCTGTGAAGACGCAGGCAACTGGGATGCAGTTGGAGGCAACAACTGCGGCAACATACTTGGAGCTAATTAAGGAAACCTCCATGCCTGTGGCATCGTTTCGTCAGCAGAGGGCCATGGGGAGATAGCAGCCAGTGACATGGGGGAAGAGGGGTGTGACGGTAAAGGGGACGCCCAGAGCTCCCAGTACTGTGCTACGAGAGAGGAGTTCCAAAACCCCGTTCTAAAAGTAACAGTAGCTGAGGGATTTTCTGCTAATTAACCGTCCAGTGGAATTGACCAAAAACATATCAGAACTTTGAAAAATGGGAAAGGAGCTGTATTGCCTCTGAAACCCCAAGACCAGCCAAAAACAGACAAGGACTACACCCCAACATTGGTTCTCAAACTACCTGTGCATTAACATTTTAAAATTACTGCTGCCCAGTTCCCACCTAAATCTCATTAAACCCATAACTTTGGAGGTGCTCTCCCGGCAATGGAGTTTTTTAAAAAGCTCCTGCAAGTAATTCTATGTGAATTCAAGGTTGAAAAGCGCTGCTCTTCCCTCAAGCCAATCCTATAGCACCCATCTCCAGCAGGAACTAGGCAGCCTTTATGACAGGTATGCACCCCAAGTAGGGTTACCAGATGAAATACAGGATTCCCAGTTACAATTGAATTTCAGATACACGACAAATACTTTTTGTATAAGTGCGCCCCATCTATTGCATGGGACATCCTTATAGCGAAGAATTCTTCATCCTGTACTTATATTTAACTCTGGCCACTCTGGCCCCCAAGCCTCAGCTCAGGTGTGGCTATGGAGAACATTCCCGGAGAAAGCAAAGTGCAGAACAACAGAGAAGGTGACCAAGGCTCTCAGTCAACTGGCGGGTAGGGTATCCTTGACAGACTGCAGGCAGGAGTGGCTAGACTGTCACTAATGTGAGCACTTAGCACAGCACTAATGTATGCATTTAGCGAAGAACCCAACACTTGGTAAGCCCTCAACAAGTGTTAGCCATCATTCTGAGGAAATCATTTATGAAAAGGAACTTGTGTGCACACATTCGCATCACCGTGGTATTCATTTAGCTAGGAAATTTTCCTAGACCGTATCCATGGTGATTTGCTTACAAAGTAATATGTCAGTTTCAACTTTCCAGGAAAGTATCTCCAGGGAGGTGTCTGGTGTCCCTCTACTAGTACTTTTATCCCTTTCTCATTGCTTTCTGCCCGTTTTCATACTTCCCTACTTCTTCCCCCAGTATTCCTCTCAACCTGTGATTCAGGTTAGTTGGGAAAACAAAATCAGGAGAGTCAGCACAAGGAAAATGCTGGGTTCCCTTTTATATAAGAGCCTTCGTGTTTTGAATCATGGTGCCGGGCAAAAGCACTCATCAGCATGTGTTGTTTGTTGTGTGTGATGCCATTTCTGCCAAGAGAGCGCTAATCACACTGATTGGTCCACATATCGAGAGTGAGGAGAACTGAAGAGGAAGGAGGAGGGATGGATGGTGAAGAGGATGACATGCGGTGTCAGAGCAAATATTCATTACATCACCCACTTCGACAGTGGAAATAAATGACAAAAGTTAAATGAGATACATCAAAGTTAAGGAGGGCCCCAGAGTGTGGCTGGGGGCGGGGATGCGACCCACAGAAGAGGTGCCTTTTGGAGTCCCAGGGTTACTGTTCTGCTCCCCCATCTACCATAGATGTAACACCTTCCCTGCAGCTCCCAGGCCACTCAGGCACTCAGCTCCAGGTCAGTGATGTATTCCTGGACTCAGTCCTCATTGGGGTCGGCACAGACCTCCTGGCCTCTTTTGGTTTGGAAGCTGTGGAGAGGAGTGGAAGGATTACACACTGAGGAATCCCACAGGGGAATCCTGGGCCCACTGTGACCCCTCCCTCCTTCTCTGCCCCAGACCTCTCAGAGCCTATCCACATGCTTTATATCATGTCCTTATTCTTGGGGTTTACAGACCATCCCTGTATCTCATATGGGGGTCCCTTGGGAAAGCCAACTTCCTGCTGTCACTCTTCCCTCTGCCCGGCGGGCAGACCCTCCAGGACTCTCTGCAGGCCCCAGAGCAGGTCAGAAAACACGGCAGTGGCCTCTCCTGGTGTCCTGAGCTCTGAGGAGGTGCCTCACGCCAGACCCCCAGTCTGCTTCCCCAGGGTGGGCAAGGAAACTGGCCCTTACATGACACTGGGCTTTGAGCACTGGCGGCTGGTCTCATAATAGTCATCCATGAATTTACACGGGATCTGCCAGGAGATGTAGGAGAAGCAGCAGGCGGTCAGGGTGTTGGCACCAACCGTGAGAAATAGGACAGATTGATCCTAAGTCCTTGTTCAGAGGAAAAGGTGAACCAGCTGCAGCTGGAGGGTCAGGCGGACCTGAAGGAGACAGTGCTGCCGGAGGGGAGGATGATGGGCGGGGGGGATCCAGGAGGAAGTTGGCATTTCCTCTTTCCTTCGACATTTTTATTTCTGTGTCTCTCTTTCGGGGTTGTCTGTCTTGGTTTGGAGTCTCTGTGCCTCTCTATGGAGGATTTAGTTTTCTGAACAAACTAGTTCTTTTTCTATCTCTCACTGGGGAGTCTCAACTGGATTCTTAAGGAGAGTGAAGGCCACACCACTGGGAGCCAGCTCGACACAGGTTCCACCTCTTGTCAGAATCCCATCTGGGTCTCATTTTCCCAGGAATCCCTCCCACTCTCTCCCAGAGCCGGAGATTAGAATTGCTAAAACCCCTTGAGAAGGGGAATTCTGCTCAGGAAACAGTGTCTGAAATCTCTCTGAAGTCGTCTACTTACAGGGCTCGGGCACAAGATTTTGGCACTGTGGCCCAAGCCGTGGCCAGAGAGTGGGGAGAGGGGGCGGCAGGGGACAGCGCAAAAGAAAGGGAGGACAGACTCACGGGGGGCTGCGGAGAGGAGCGGGACAGCCAGGGTGGCCCCGGGGACCTCCATGATGCTTGACAGCCGAGTGAGAACCCAAGTGGTGGCCAAGAAGAGTTGGGACTTGGCGACTCGAAGCTGCAGCCTCCTTCTGGGGTCTAAGCCATGTCCCCTCGTTATAGGCAGCCTTGGGGCATTCAAAGATGGAAACTTGGGTAGACCAAGGAGGAAATTTTTTATCACTGTGTTGGGATCATGCAGCGAATTGCACAAGCCAGGAAAGCTTTGGGTTGCCACAAAGGCTCAGGCTGTTTGCAAGAATGCTTGTGTTGCTTACTTGATGGGGAAATGGTTTCCACAGTGAGAGGAGGTGAGAGGTTGGTGTGGCCCTGTGACCAGGGTAGGTGGTGCCTTCTCATGAGAGCAGATCTGTAGACCAAGCATCTCTCCCACAGGGCTGAACCTTCCGGTACTCACCCCAGCTGACGGCACAGTTGTGATGTAGATGATAATGCCACGGAGTCTTAAGAAGCACACCCCAAGGGGAAACCATAGCCTGGATGGAGACAGCAGAACTGGAGAAGCCTCAGCTACAGAAGGGGCCAGATTGAGGCTGGCCTTTCAGACTCTGGCTCATTCCTCAAACATTCTACCTGACTGCTGAGGCATCCATATCAAAGAAATCTATCTCGAATAAGCACATTGCCCAATACACAACTAGATAAAGGGCCAGGCTGCCCTACCCATGAAGTTCCCCTTTTAGAAAGTTCTGGGTGACCTAGACAACTGACCACTTGAGTGACTCCACTTTTCCCTTCCCTGTTTAATTTCCTCTTTTATGTTTTAAATTCACCAATAAAGAGTGAACACGTGAAACCCTGGGCACCCCACCCTCGCCCCAATAAAGGCAGAACCCCAGGTCTGAGCTCGCTTTTTCTCTACTGGCAACCTCGCCGTGTGGCCCCAGCAGTGCCGTGTACCTTCCAGGACCGGTGAGTAACAATTCTTGTCTTTTCAAAGTCCCCTGATGTTTGTTGCTGAGGTGTGTCTTGCAGTCATAATAAGAACCACAGTGGCTGGTCCAGCCTCAACATTGGCTCTGGTCAGAGAAATGTCTGTGGGGCTCCCACAAGGAGTACAGCCCAGGTGAGATCCTGCAGGGCATGCTGAACTGTAGCATCACCATCAACAGGCTGAGATGGACACAGAACAGCTGGTCCCTGGCTTAACTGGGCTTACTGGGAGCTAATATGAGGAGCCTTAAAATGTTGTTACCCTTTGAACAGCAAAGCTCTCTGTCAGGGATCTATCCTATGGAAATAAACACAGAGATGACATCATAGGCATCATGGTGTTTGTCACAGCTTATTTATACCAATTAAAAGATGAGCTACAGTTAAATACGTGATGGTGTATTCACCTCTTGCAATAATAATTCGCCCCTAGAAACTGTGAAAGTAAAGAAATTTTAAAAGGAAGTCCTTGTTATTTAAAAATCCTAGAACATTTCCTGTTTCCTTATTGTAAAGTCAAGCTGGCATTTCCAGGGTTTGCCTGGCAGCTCAATAATGTCATCAAGGACTCCCTTCTTAAACATATCCCCTTCCCCCATCATTTCATTGGCTTTTCTTCTTTGGGCTTGTTACCTCATGGTGATGAAATGGTGGCTGCTGCTCAGGTATCACATCTTCACAAAAAGTCTCAACCACAGGCATAGGAGGGAGTCTCACAGGAGTAGAGAAAAAGCAGTGTTGCTAGTGTTTTTAATTCAAATTGGGGTTTTTTTGCATAATTTGTAATGTTAACTGTAGATGACCCTCAAAAGTGGTAAAAGCTAATTTTAACTATATATAAAATACAGAAAAGAAAAAAAAACTTGTTTCATTTCTGAAAGCTGGGTAAGCATGACAAGTGCAAGTAAGGATGTAGGAGGCTTTTGTCCACATTCTTCCTGTCTTATTGTGGCATAAATGTATTCCGAGGCATAATCTGAGTAAAATTACATTGCTTAAAGGTAGGAAAAATTCTATTACCCAAACCTAACCACTATTAATTTGGTTTATTTCTTTCAAGTGCATTTCCCCCTAGGCTTATGATAGTTCCATTTACTTACTTGCTTTTTTTACCTCTTTTTACTATGTGTCTGCGAGGGGAAGGGACATTACTGTAGTCATGATGTGGATGCAATTTTGTATTTTTCTTATTTATACCTAACATGACAAGACTTTTCCAAATCATTCCAGTATTTTTAAGAGCTGCCTGATTTACTCAACCATCAGCCTAGTGCATTTATATCATCATGTACTATTGTAGCACATTTGGACTGGTTCCAATTTTTAATTACTATAAATAAACTGCACCAAACATCTATACGCATAAAACTTTCTCCATAAATGAAGTTTTTTTCCATAGGGTATTTTCCTAGCTGTAGACTTGCTGAGTCAAAAGATAAGAACAATTGAGGCTCCTGATCTATAGAGGCACCCTATATCTAATGCATGTTCATTTCTGTACGCTATTGTTAAACCCAGTGACGACACATTGTAGGGACTTGTGAATGTTTGATGATTGAAACAGTCATTAAAAAGCGGATCTCATCCATCTTGTCATGCCTGTAGCCCAGGCTTCTCCAATTCCATTCTGTCCATCTGGGACTGGATCAAACATGGCTCAGGCTACTTTAGACTCTGTGGCATCATTAGGTATGTCATGGTCAAAACACCTGTGAAGAACATTAGACATGTCTGCTCTGAGGAAGGAAACAGGGAATGGTATGGGCCATAAAGAACTGTTCTTGGTAGAAAGAACCAGCTAAGCTTGGTCCCCCAGAGACAACAACTCCTGTCTTCCCCCGTTTTTGGTGAATCACTTCCTTAGAAGCACTCTGAGCAACATGATGTCATGGCCCTTTCCACCCAGGGTGCGGTTTTCATGGCGATTTGTGTGCTCACGGTGCTGGGGCATTACCCATAAATGTCACCTTGTATGATCAGAAGAGCTGTAGCAAAGCATCAGATCTGCTCTGTGGGTGAAACCATTAATCTCTAGATCTTTCCATGTACTTACAGCTCTAACCCTAACATCATGTCACCTCCTATCACTGTCCAAAACATTTCCAGCCAATCAGCCCCAACAAGTGAGCAACTGAGCTCTATCTCGGATGCCCTGAACCTCCGTGTGACCCCACAGACCCCGACATGTGCAACTCATAACACGACACCATCCGACAACTTCCGATCTGGTCATCCCCAGCCTCCAGCTTCTCATGCTTCAGAGTTGCCTATAAAGGGACAAAGATACAGGATGGACTCCAGAAGGATGGAGGCAGCAGCAAGTGCCCAGTCCTATCTTGGCTTTGCCCTCTGCCTGCCCATCACTGATGAGTTCCCCATGGCTGCCCTTGTTCACCATCTCCTCACCACGGCCCTCAGCTCACAAGTCTTGTCTGTATCGCAAGACTCTGCACCCTCATCCTTTCTCTCTTTTAGAATTGTTTCCCAATGCTCTGGATGGATGTCTAAACCATATTACTTAAGCCCTATGGTTGAGATTCCTTACGTGAAAGCAAAGAATTCACAGAAGTTTTCAAAATATTCTGAACTATTTCCCAAGAAGTTTTAGTTCTCCTAGCCTCTGTATCTAAAAGGCAGAAGAGGACTAGGACCCATTTTTAGTGGGGAAAACTGAGGTCTAATGCAGCCATTAACAAGATGCAAATGCCAGGTCCAGTTGGTTCCTAGGATGAGCCAAATGATATATTCCCTCAGCTCTCCCAAGGAGCTCCACACTTTGGGTGATGTACAGAAGGTGGTATCTTGCTGGGAAATGCCTCTGTGCACCAGATGAAGTTCCCCCGAATGAGACGGAACAAGGGCTCACTGTTCCTATAGCTATATTCCCTGAAGAGGGAGCCAGAGACTGAGAACAAGACAGGCAGAGATTCAAAACAAAAATTCAAGGTAGGGACTTCCCTGGTGGCGCAGCGCTTAAGAATCCACCTGCCAATGCAGGGGACAGGGGTTCGATCCCTGGTCCGGGAAGATCCCACATGCCGCGGAGCAACTAAGCCTGTGTGCCACAACTACTGAGCCTGTGCTCTGGAGCCTGCGAGCCACAACTACCAAAGCCCGTGCGCCTACAGCCCGCGCTCTGCAACAAGAGAAGCCACCGCAGTGAGAAGCCCCTGCACACTGCAACAAAGAGCAGCCCCCTCTCACCGCAACTGGAGAAAGCCCGGGCGCAGCAACAAAGACCCAACACAGCCAAAAATAAATAAATTAATTAATTTTTTAAAATTCAAGGAAAAGAAGAAATGCTTAGTTTCCTTGCTTCGTTTGTGCCCTACTCTGCAGCCCTGAGCTCTGACATCTCCACCAACTTCTAGGTGGCCCCCGCCCAGGGTAGAAAAAATTGAGTTGGCTTTTCTCGGGCTCTTGGTTGCCACTTCTTCATGGTTAGGGCAGACACCTCAGTGCCTGCTGCTTCTCTTATTTCTCTCCAGATCTGTCACAAATTTGTTCATGGTCATGGTGACACACACACAGCCAGTTTTCCTACCCTGGTATAATATCGGTATCACTCCTCCTTCCTAGAGACAGGCAGGGCTTGTGGAGGAGAGCCAACCCATGGGCCATGGGGTGAGGGGCAGACAGGCATATTTCTTTCTGGTTTTTTCTTCCTCTTCTCAGGATTTTTTTTTTTGCATCTTGCTTGTTAATATTTAATATTAAAAATTAAGTCTTTTCATGTCATTCTATTTGTTTAAGAGGCTGGCACTAGGCTCTTAGAATATCTAGTTTGGTGTCAATTATTTGATCAAAGATAAGCTGCACCAGATAACAGTGTCCTTAAAATTTTCCATGTTCTGTGAGTTCATTTCCATAGGATAGGTTCTGAAAAAACAGAATTTCTGGCTCAAATAATATGGACATTTTTAAGGCTGGACCCTTAGCCAGCGTTAAATCCAGACTTCATTGTAGGTATGTGGTGAGTATTTGACAAATAGACCAGTACTGGAAAGCTAATCCTTATTTCCACCGTTCTTGTACCTCCAGCCTTTCCAATTCTGTTCT